GTTTCCCAGAATCCCTTGCAGCTAGGTTACCATGTCCTGGCCAAAGGAATATGGCAGGAGTCATAGGAGGACTCCAGGCCGTGTGCCTGAGGGGCAGGGTTGGAGTTCTTCCTCCTCCTGGCAGGTGGAGAGAGCATCCTCTGGGCTGTGTGAGGACACATGCTCCCCTATGGGCAGCACCTGCCAAACCAGTCACGCTCACCTTCACACGGTCACTCTGGGGACTTGCCTTGGTTTTGAAAGTCGCCCCCCCCCCAGGCCAGGGCTGGTCACGGAAGCCAAAACATGCCTTCACCTGGGCTCACTCAGCAACCAGTGCAGCTGGAGCCTCCAAAGCTGGAGTCTGCAAGATTCTTTCACTGAGCACCGAGGTACAAGGCTGCCTTGTATTTTAGGTTCTTCAAAATATCTCATGCTGAACCACCACCAAGAAATGCTCGTACTGGGAGAAGAAGGGTTTGGGGGTCTGAATCCCATCTCTCTAGACCCATCCCTCCAACACCTCTGGGGACTACAGTCTGAGACCTCATGACAGGACAGGTGTTTTCTGTCTGCACTCTGTGGATGGTCGCGTACTATGACTCTTTTCCTTCCATAAGGCAAAAGGGAAAGAGAGGCCCAGCCTTTAGTCAGCCATGTGGTGAGACCTGGGAGGAGGGGGCACCTGCCTTCCCCTTGCACCTTTCTGGAATATTCATCTCTCCAGCCTCATTTTCCCCTTGTGTGATAGTCCCTACCTTGAACTGCAGATGTCCAGGGTGGTGGTGATACCACCTGGAGTCGTAGGAAGGGAGGACTCTCGAGTGCTCCCAGGAGGAGGCAGGAGTGCTGCTGTGCGGGTCTGCACAGATGGATGTGTTTATTGCTGGCTCCAGCCCAGGGCAGGGGCGCCATGGCCCCAGTGGATCACTGTCAGGAAGGCCGCAATTAAGGGGAAGTGGGGTCTATTAAGGAAGCTGGAGGCGAAGGCTTCCTGGCTGTCTGGCAATGCTGTAATGAACTTGCAGGTCCCTTTTATTTTGTCACTCATAGGGCAGACCTCAGCCCAGGGCTGCTGGGAGTTGGGAGAGCCTGCCAGGTGTGTAGGATGAGAACACTCTCTTTGCACTGCAGGATGGGATAACCACAGACAAGGTTTTATAGTGTATGTGTTGGGACCTTCCCTAGCTCTTGACATGTCCTGACTTACGACTCTGTACTGGCTAATTTTACGAACCTCAGTAGAGAAAATGCCTCCATTAGATAGGGCTATAGGCAAGCCTGTAGGGCATTTTCTTAGTGATTGATGGGGGAGGGACCAGCCCATTGTGGGTGGTGCTATCCCTGGGCTGGTGGTTCTGGATTCTATAAGAAAGCAGACTGAGTAAGTCATGATGAGCAAGCCAATGAACAGCACCTGTCCCTGACCTCTGCATCAGCTCCTGTCTCCAGGTTCCTGCTCTGTGACTTCCTTCGATGATGAACAATGATACGCAATGCAAGCCAGATAGACCCTCTCCTCCCAAGTTGACTTTGGTCATGGGGTTTCACTGCAGCAATAGAAGCCATTAAGATATCATCCCATCCATCTGTGCCTGTCCTGTTATTGCCTGGAAGGACACTGAGGCACCAGGAGACCAAACAGCCAGTGCCAAGTCATACAATCAACAAGTGACAGAGCTGACACTCAGCTCAGGTTGCCTATGCTGGTGACTAGGCAAGAGTGGCCACAAAATCTGCCGTGGTGACTCAGCTCTACCATAGACAATATGGAATCTCAGCTGGCACAGAGGTGTTTGGATAAAACTTTATGTGAACACATAGTGTCTGGATCTGGCCCTTCAACTCTCAATATTTTTTATCTACAATAACGTCCTATTTATTTAAGAATTATGTATACATTTGAGTGTGTGTGGGAGGTGCTACGTGTGAATGCCAAGGGACGTGTGTGAAGGTCAGAAGACACTTGTGGGGGCTTGTTTCCACCTTCCACCATGTGGGTCTCAAGAACTGAACTCAGGTTGACAGGCTTCGAGGCAAGCACCTTTACCTAATGAGCTGTCTCGCTGGCCCTCTTGTTAGTAGTCTGGAGAGCTCGGAAAAGCCTGTGGACCTGTTGTGGCAACTGCCAGTGAGTGAATTACGAATTGATGTCTTCCCCTTGCCTCGAGCTCATACTTCCTGTTTCTAGACCTAGTTTCAGATTGGTGTTTTTCCAGCCACGGAGGTGCTAGGGTTGTGGGAGATGGCCCCACTCCCCAGCTTTGGGCAGGGCAGCCTCCATGTGGGTTTGAATCGCTTGTTTCCTGCTTGTTGACCCACGTCCTGAGGCCTTCCTACATCTTCATGGTGCCTGTGGTCACTGAAAACCCAGCCCACGGTTCCCTGGAGCCTGCTCACTAACCACTCTTTGCCACTTCCTTCTCAGATGACACACCATGGCCTTCCAGAGTCACACGACTGCAGACCCCGCTGGCTCCCAACTCTCACTGGTCCAGACTCTGCCACTTCCTCCCAGGCTCCCTTCTGCAGCCACTGCAGGTTAGTCGCTACTAGGTGAAGCCTACTTTGGGTCTGGGTCTTTAGGGCTCTGTCTGGATGGTGACCCTGAAGCCTACTTGTCCCTACTGCCAGATGGAGTTGGCGCCAACCCTCTGTGCAGCACTGGTACCTTGAGGGATATCACCCACCTCTAGGAGACCCTGCCAGAGAAACTGGGGGGGTCTCTGCTCCCCACTAAGCCCCAAGGGCCTTCCAGGCTAGGAGGATACTGCCCTGCTGGGACTCACAGTCAGGATGGGGCTGACCCCAAATAACCCGCTGCCACAGGAGCAAGGGGTGGGCACAGGGCCCTGCGCGTGGAGGCTGGGGTTGCCCGAGTCCAGGAGTGCAGGACTAGGATAAATGGAAACAAGGAGGTAGTGTTACAGCTCTGATGGAGTTGATGTGTCCCGAAGGGAGTGGGAAACGTGGGGAGCAGTTGAAGGCACTCATGTCAGTGGGCCCCTGACAGCACGGGTGAATACATCACTGGTAAGCAAGCATCCTGCTAGGCTTTAAAATGCGATTCTGCAGGAAAAAATGCCTAGCTACTCCCGGAGAGGTGGTGTGAGAGGGAATGGGCAGACAGAGTCCTGGGGGCTTCATTCCCAGGACCTGAGCACTGGTTCTATTTCCTCCAGGCCTTACCGAAGGGTTAAAGTCATTTTCATTAAAATTTAAATTCCAGCAGGCGCTCTCTCCCTCCTTCCCCGTCCTTTGAACGTTTTGACTGGCAACCATTTCATATTTCAATCTCGGCAGAACAAATTGAATTAGATGTTGAGCCCGAGCTCAGCTCTGTTGGGCAGAGCCTGAGTGTGCAGCCCCAGCTGATCCTGCCTCAGCCATCCTGAGCAGCTGTGGTGGCTGGAGACATTGGGGAGGGGGGATCCCCTGCATCGGGACTGGGTGGAGAGGGTTGGGGTGGTGGAGGTGAGGGGACACGGGGTGGGGAGGGCTGTCTCACACCTGATGTGAGTAGTTATCTCTCAAAAAACACTTATTTTTATTGGTGCATATCTTTTTGTGTGCCACGTGAGTACAAGTGCCCGTGGAAGCCAGAAGGCCGCACTGGCTCCCCCAGAGCTGGAGTTGTAGGCAGTTGCGAGTGTGACTCACTTTAGGTGGCTGCTGGGAACCGAACTTGGGTCCTCTGGAAGAGCCACACTCTCTTAACTGCTACACCTTCTCTCTAGCATCCCGTGTGTACATCTCAAGGCCTGGGGCAGTCTCTGGAGTCCATCCAGTGAGGAATGCCATGTCTCAAGAAAGATGTGGAGGCACCCGGGTTTGTCCTCAGGACCAGGTTCAGCAGGGTTTGGTGACAGGATGCATAAACGAAGGCCAGGTATCGCTGACCCTGGCATCTCCCCATCCGCTCACTATAGGATGGATGTTTTGATATGTCTGTCCCTTACTGGAGTGTGACATGCTGGTACTCTTCCAGAGTCAGGATGCCCGTGTTGGAACCTGTGCTCAGGACAGTGGCCAGCAGGACAAGGCACGCTCCATTTTAGAACTCCATGCCAGCTCAGACTCCATTCTGCTTCCTGGATTTCCCTTCTTTGCTGGCCCAGGAGTCCCAGCTGGGCTCTTGGAAGGCTTAGGGACAGTCAGCAACATGAGGGTATTCATGTCCTAAACACCAGAGCCTGCGGGTGTGAGGAATCACAGTCTGGGTGGAGTCTAGTCTCCTGCCCAAGTCTTCCGACCAGAAACCATCTCTATCTCCTCCAGGCTCTTGCTGGCCCCACAGGCTCTTGCCTACTGAGGCTCAGAGAGACCCCAGGCTTGTTCCACCACCTCTTCCAGGCTCCCCAGCTGCGTTGGGCACTGGCCTCCCACAAGCTCCTATTTATATGTATGTGTGTGTGTGGGGGGGGGAGTCAGGGGGCACATGTGGAGGTCAGAGCTTCATTGTGTCTTCCTCCAGTATATCGCCACCATTTTTTTTTTTTTTGACTAAGGTTTCTCATTCAGCCTGGAGTTCACGGATTGGCTAGGGTGGCTGTCCATCGAGCCCTGAGGATCTGTCCTTCTCTACCCTGAAAAATCAGGGATTACAGGTGCACACCACCTTTTCTGGCTTTTGTATGGGTGCTGGGGACCTGAACTCAGGAGGCTGGGGGACTCAAAAGTTGCCTGCTAAGCTGTAGGCTTAGATGGTCACTGCTGCAGAGGCCAGGCTGGCCAAGCATAGGTGTCCAGGTCCTGCTGCGAAGGGGAGCTTCTAGCTGCTCCTGGGGAGTTTATGCTGGTGACATAGACAACTTTCTGCCCCAGGCTGTCTGGAACACGTGGGCACACCTTGGAATGGCGGGACAGGGAAGATTACCACCCTGTCTTTCAATGACCCACAGCAACATGGGCCACGGTTTCTGATGGTCAAGTTTTGGTGTGACAAGCATCATCCTCCGGACTGGTAGAGGCTGGTGCAGGCTGACATTTGAGGTGTGTGGCAGAGCAGAGTTGAGCCATTCTAGGTTCTGACTTATTGCTTTATTCTCAGTGCCCTTGGACTGTAACAATGTGTCCGACCCACCCAAGGGTGTGGTCTCAGCTTTGGTCCAGGCCACTCTGAAAAGTAGGGCCTGATCCCCCTCCCCCAAAAAAAACAAACGAACAAACAAAACAGCCCAGACCAAGAGTCTCCCATAAAGTCAGAAGGCCTGGTGCCCCTGGTCAGGGTCCTGTCCATCACCGGCAGCCCGTGGTGACGGCAGCTCAGAGGTGGGAGGAGAGTCTTCTCAGGTCTTCCTGGGTTGGATGGCTGAAGGTGGTGTGGCTGGCCGAGGCCACCACGCTAGTCACCTGCACTGCGTAGACAGTACCTGAACGCAAAATGATGTGCGTCTTCAGCGGCACGCTCAGTGGTGGTGCTGGGGCTGAGGCCCTGCTCCCTGCGTGATGCCATCCATGGAGAGGCTGCACTAGGGTACCAGCCAGCGCTAAGCTTGCGAAGCCTCTGACCTTGACGGGGCTCCCAGGGCCTCCACCATGAGATGCAATGGCGATGGCACACAGTTCAGTCTGTGAACCTGGCATCAGGGCTCGGAATGTGAAGCTTCAGGTGGTCTGGGGAGGGCCCTGGGTGATGAGTCCCCAGCTCCATCCTTGGCCAGCAGTCCTGAGGAGGGTGAGATGGCTGCAGGAGTCTGGTGGGTGGGGCCTGGGAGGCTGGTGACCAAGGCTGAGCTGCGTGTTCCTGCCTGGACAGCAGCTGGCTCCTTCCATGGGTCCTCCAGTGGCTGTGCACCCTGCCACCCACCCCAGTCCCTGCTCCTCGGGGACAAGGAGCCAGGTGTGGGTGGGAGCGCCGTGCGAGAAGAGGATGCCAGGTCTGTGCCCTGTGGGTGCCCAGTGCCGATGCCCGGTCAGTGGCTGCTGAACGCATCACCGGCGAGGAGCCTGCAGAAAAGCCGTTCTGGCACCCGTACCGGCCACAGGCTTTGTCTCCTGTGACCCTGACCCATGCGAGGCCTCCTGACGGGCCCTGCCCGGCCCCAGGGCCCTGCACCACACAGCCTGGCCGTGCTAGATCACAGCTGAAGAGCGTGCTCGCTGCCGTCATCGTCGTCCCCATCTTCCAGCTGCTCCAGGATCCCATCCAACACCGCAGACCGCTTTTTCTTTGGGGGCTCTGTGGCAGATGGCAGAGAGGAGAAAAGACAGGAGAGGGTTAAATGGGAGGTGGGGGAAGCAGAGGTGTGTGGGGTGGGCATAAGGAGAGCACGGGTGGGGGATGAGAGAAGGGTGAGAACAGACAGGGCCCCGGTCAGTCCAGTCTCAGTCAGGTGCCTCTCTCCAGCCTCCCACTGCTGCTGGCCACCTCTGCGCCCTCTCCCAGCCTTGCCACAGAGCAAAGGACCCACTTTAGGGAGCCAGTGGCCACCTGAGACCTGCCTCCTTCCTGCCGGCCAAAGGCCTAGTCAACCCAGGCAACAGCTGGACAGACAAGCAGGGGCCAGCTGTTTCTGTGGCAGCCACAGACTCCCAGGATGTGGCTGAGTGACTATCAACAACTCAGTCAATGTTTGGTGCGTAGTTGCAGTGCCCAAGGAATCTAGAGTGGTGTGGGGACCATAATAATGAGAAGGGTTATTTGATTTGGGCTTTGATGAATGCAGAGGAGTTTTCTATGAGGAAGGGGCAAAGGGGGATTTACACATACAGCGGTTCCAAATGCCACTGAGTACCTATTGTATGCTATGGCACTAGTAACCTCAACAACCCCACAGGCAAGGACACAGCGAGACTGGCTCTGAGCTGCTTGCCCCATCAATCTCTCTGCTAGCCTAACCATCCAGTCCCTCACTAGTCAAGGTCTAATTTATAAAGAGGCTGCCCACGCAGACCCCTACCTTCAGGAGACTAACTCCTTGTGTGACCCCCCCCCCACTGCTACATTTACCTCACACTTCTACATGGCAGCAGATGGCTCAGGGATGGATGACCTCGGCTCCCTCCTGGGGGCGGGGTGGTTCCTGGAATCCCTGCCCACCTCCTCCATGGTGGTCCTCTCTGTCCCAGCCACCCTCCACCCTATCACTTTGCCTTTCCCTGGGAACTCTTGCACACATGAGCTGCTGTCACCCCTTGAGGAGACCTGAGCCCACGGGCAACCCTCTGTAGATGCCACACTGTGTTTTGAATCACCCTCAGGCCTTCGGAGCCCACGCCCTGGTCTCCCTTGCCCCGGCTCCCCACACTTCCCTGGCCACAGCCTCTCCTCTCCCGCTATGCAACGGGCCCTTCTGTTGGGGACACTGTCTCCAGCTGTAGCTCACACGAGGCTCCAAGTGGGAGATGCATGCACAGAGCCAGGGCTGGGGTGGAGGCTGTGCTGTGGGGAGAGGACGTGGGGGACGACACTGGCTGAGAGCCAAGGTCTGGCAGCTATGCCCATCATGGCCAACTATGGAAAGGGAGGAAGCGGCCGGGCTCCCTGCCGTGTCCTCTCCTCACTCGGTGCCTCATCCCCGCTGCACAATGGCCTCAGGAAATTGAATCGTGGGCAGGTAATAGGGCTGGAAATAGACAACAACAAAGCAGGTTCCCAGCCTGTGTCTGATGCCCCTCCCGCTGCTGCCTTCGAGGCAACCAGAGAGACCATCAAACCATGCCAGAGCCCACCCACCACACTGCAGTACCTCTGCTGTGCCCTGTCCCTGGGGGAAACCGAAGCTGTCACACTGTTGGTGAATGGTGCACAAGCATTGACCCTGGTACCCATTCCTCTCACCCCAGGGCCTTTGCACTGCCATGACCTGTCTGGAATGCTCTACTGGACCATTCGGGGGCCTCTTTTCTGTGGTGATGCGTCCCTGGCTCTCCCACAGAACTGCATGATCTTCTGGCTTCACTGTTGTCTCTCTTGCTGGGACTGTCCTGGTACCTGGCAGCCCTCAGTAAATGTCTGCTGAGTGACGGATTGACTGAAGATGGCCAGGAAACAGTAGGGCTCAAAGGAACCAGAATACCGGGGGATGGTGGTGCCCACCTTTAATCCCAGCACTTGGGAGGCAGAGGCAAGTGGAGCTCTGTGAGTTCAAGACCAGCCTGGTCTACAAGAGCAAGTTCCAGAACAGCTTCCAAAGCCACAGAGAAACCCTGTCTCGAAAACAACAACAACAACAACAGCAACAACAAAATGAACCAGACTATGGCAGGAGGACCAGAAAGAAAGATGTTTTTCATGAATTTCCCCCCCAATGACTTGTCTCACACAACACTTGCTTTTGGAGCCACAGTCGGAATCCAACTGACTCCTGGCTGGGGCCTCTGCACACTGCGCTGCTACAGTCCTTGGTGAGGAAGCCTTGGGGACAGCTTCATGGCACCCATTGCCCTTACCTGGGCTCATGGCAACACAGACCTTTGCCCCCCTGTGAACAGCCGCCGTCTCGAGCACGCAGATGCAGGGAGTGTCTCCTTGCCTGGGTTATTCCCTGAGCCACCAGGTCTCCTGCCCTGCAGTGGATGCTTCACCCTCTGCCTTTAGGGAGCACTGGGCCGTCTGTGACATCGACCCTCACCCCACAGCCTGGAGCTCATGGGGGTTCCTTGTGCTGACTGGCACTAAGCACACTTGGGGAACCCTTATGTATGTGTCACTGCTCACACTCGGACTTCCTGGGAGGAGGAGGTGGCAGTGTCAGACCAGGTCCCTTCTAGAGGCTCCAGAGTCCCCACAACAGGGAACCAGACCCCATGAAGGCCTGGCCTCTCCTAGGAAGTGACTGTGACTTCAGTTTCTGGTGATTCTCTGCTTGGCCCAGTAAGAGGAGCCCAGGGCTTGGGGACCAACCAGTCACTCCTTCAGTTGTAGGTTAAGATAACAAGTTGTCGGGCTAGAGAGGCGACTCAGCAGTTATAAGCATTGGCTGTTCTTACAGAGGACCTGAGTTCAATTCCCAGCACCATACGGTGGCTCACAACCATCTATAATAAGATCTGGTGCCCTCTTTTGGCCTGCAGGCACACGCCGGCAGAACACTATATACATAATTAGTAAATACATTTTGTAAAACAGAAAACAAGTCCTCCAGGGAGGTGCTGGGGGCCTGGAACACAGGGTGCCCACAACTCCAGGACCCCAGACCAACAGACTCTGCCATCAGCAGCCAAGGCACTCTGAGCATGTCCCACCACGTCCTGGGGCAGCGGTGAGGATGAGGGAGTCAAAAGGTTCTCCTTGCTGTTAGTCTGGCTCAAGTCCACAGCCAAGGATTGGGTTGAAAGCCCCATTCACCCTGTAGGACAGGCTGGGCCCTGTGTCTTGGCTGCTGCCACCCAGCCCCCCACTGGCTTGCCTCCACATGGAGTGCCGGCGCGCCTGGCAGGAACAGCTGTGGAAACCCCACTTCCCCACATCGGAAGCCTCGGTGGGTCCTCACCAAACAAACACAAAGCAGAACCCGGGGAAGGTGTGAAATAAATAAACGAAACAAGCCGTGCATTTTCTTTCCACGGCGCAGCTGCTCCTGAAGATAAACAACAAGTGACTGTCACCAAACATCAATACCGAGAAATGAACTTGACAAAAAGCTCGGCCGGCCCCCAACAGCCCCCCAGTCCTGCCCCCTCCCCCCAACCTCCAAACACCACTTCTGCATTTCTCCAGTTCCCACCTAATGGTTTTATTTTTCAATTAATTCCTTGACAGAATGCCAGCCCGCATCTCTCCCTTCCCTGGCTGGCAATGTCGCCTGCATGGAAGGCGCGGGTGGGGGCCTGAGGGAGGACAAGAGAAATCACTTCATGGGAGGAGAGGCAGGCTGGGGATGAGAGCGTGGCTGACAAGGAGAAAGGATGCTGGAAGGGGCCTGTGAAGAAGAGGAAAGACACAGACAGCCCAGGATGGGAAGCCAGCAGGCCAGATGCTTACCCTGTCTGGGCTCAGGTACTGAATGAAGACAAAGCTGCTTAGGAACACAGTTCTTAAGTTGCTGGCCGTGCCTGGAACCCCAGCACCAGGGAGGCTGGCACAGGAAGATGGCCTGAGCCTGGTTGTGTGAGGCCAGTCTGCACAATGGAGAGATCCCATTTCAAAATGAAACAAGCGACTGGTCACAGGCCTTCAAGACTTTGGCTAGTACAAGGATGAAGACTCAGTTGTCCAAAGGCATGAGCCAAGACGGACAAGAAGTGTTAAATGTGCCATCACACGTTTATGATGGCCAGCACCTGGCAATCAGGGGTCTGGGCTGCCATGGTAAAGCTGGGACCCAGGCAGGAATGGGGCTCTAGGCACCTGTGGGCTTGCTGCAGCAGGCTCAGTGTGGATTTCTTTTCTAGGAATCCCACAAGTTGGGTGTATGCTCCCTGGGCTCTGAGGAGGTCCTTTGGGTACAGGCTCTCCATGTGGGGCTGAGCTCCCTATGGGACCTTTTCCTTACACCACAGCCAAGCCCAAGGTCCCATGAACACTTGCCCTGTAGTGGATTCACCCTCTGAGGGTCCCGACAGAAGTGCCAGCCATGGGGCAGCAGTCACACAGACCCTGATCCAAAGCCTAAAGGAAGGGGTGCTCGCTGGCCTGGGGTCCTCTGTAATTAGTCTATGAGTGTGGGAACCCTGTGCCCTCTGGGGAGAGCAGCAAGTGTCGAGGCAGGGAGACCTGCTGCAGAGAGAGTAAGCACAGGATGAGGGAGGCTGGCAGGGGGCTCCCGTAGCCCTGCTTGTCCTGAAAGCTGTACTCTGCATTATCTTCCTCTTCTACTGGGGTCCAAGCAGAGGCGATGCGGAGGGATATGCCAGTGTAAGGGCCAGGTGGAGTTAGCATGGAGGCACACTGGACAACTGAATCAACAGGGAGTGCACGTGTCACATAAATGCACAGTGGCTCTGCAGGCCTTGCCGTGGGATATGGGACCAGGGTGGCCAGACCTGATTTCCTAAGAGTGGCTTGAAACTGATTTCCAGGTCAGATCTTCTAGTGGTCAAACAATGATGAATCCAATACTGTTTTGTGTTCACATGTTGCAGGCAAGGCACCGACGGCTCAGCTGGTGGCCTCTGGTCTACGTGCTCTTCATTGCCTATCACTGCCATTGGAGGCAGCCTTTGAAGCTGTTTTCCCTGGTTTCCTCCGGTTGGGCCAAGCTGCATGTCAGGTATGCCGGCCAGCCTGTACCCTCT